GGGGGAGGGGGGGGGGGGGGGGTTGTACGTGCGCGAGATTCTCATAAACCAGTAAACAGACCAGCGAGCTGGCTAATCAAGTTCATATTCTGTACTCACCACTCTCTCCGTTGTAGTTTATACTCATTCCATCCTCCCGACGCCATATTACGTATGGCTCGGGATATCCAGTTGCCTTGCAGACTAGGGTCACGTTGGAACCTTCACGGACTACCATGTCTGTGGAGGTCTCTTTTGCTATTATCGTTGGTGGTACTGTAATTGAAATTAAAAAAATGATTCTTTAGTGTAAGCAGGGTGGATTAGGATTGATCAAAAATTACCCAATATAGGCCAGGGTTGAACAAGGATTGTTCAGCATTGGCTAGGATTAACCAACAATTGTCCGGTATGAACCAGGATTGGCCAAGGATGGCTTAATATGAATCAGAATTGGCCAAAGATTGTCCAGGATGGATTAGGATTGATCAAAAATTGTACGACATAAACTAGGATTGGCCAAGGATGGCCCAACATAAACCACTTAATAAATAAAATGAAACGTACTACCAAAATAATGAATTTTTTGACTCACCGACAACCTGCAGAAACCCTTGCATACTCCTCATCGGATCTGTATTCACCTGACACATGTACCACCCCCTATCAACTTCCTGAACCTGCTTTATGTGAAGATACCAGGACCTGTGATCATTGTATGACAACGAGATTCTCGGATTCTGTGTTATTACATTGCCGTGGATTGAGAGTATCGTTTGTGTATCCACTCGTACCCACGCTACCTGGATTCATACAATCGGAAGGATTCAATATCAGTGGAACAAAAAGTTTACGGGATTTCGCTACTCAATTCTTCTGTTATTCCGTTACTCCTCATTCACTATTGGTACAATACATTTTTTCATAAAAATGGAAGAAACTAATTCTCCACATGAATTTCTTCCATTTCACTGGCATCACAAATCCTTTCAAATACGTTTGTCTTTGACCTACCTGATATCGTTTGAGATTATCCACGACACACGCCAGCAGCGCATCTCGTCCCACGCTGACTGTGACATTCTGAATTTGTTCAGCGAATGTTGGCATCGAGTCATCAGCAACTAGAATAAAAATTCATCAGGATGAGAAACGGTTGAACAGAATTTTTTTCAGATGAGAAAATTCAAAGTCCACAATATGTTTAAACTATATCTGTAGGTTTTTCTCGCTACTATGCAGACATGTGCTGCCACAAACAGGGTTTCGGGGAGACCGAATGGTCACGTGGAACACTTGGCTCGCTTTGCTCACGTTCAACCGTGCACGTACAGCTGACAGTCTTGGGGTCTCAGAGGTTAAATAAAGTTAATCGTAAGGAGTTGATCAACTGCATTAATTATTTGATATGTTCGCCAGTCCTTTGCTTGTCAACTCCAATAAATAATCGTTACGAAATGGCAGTTTACAGGGGTCAAATGGTCTTGAGCGTGAAATGGGATCTGTTAATGACTCCGCACGTCTCTCCTGTTTAACTCTAATGATAACATTCTCCCTTTTTCAGGCATTGAATGCCACACTCTCATTAAAACCCCTCCAATGCACATAATTCGTAATCTAACCCACCCGGAATGATTGAAACGGTCGCAATCATTCCGTTTAACCGGACCTAGTTGCATCATTAAATGTGCAATTTACTAGTTTACCGATGTCCATTAATATCAACAGGTTCCCCTATTCCGTCGATTCCTCCAAAACACAGCTTCCGGAATTTCAAATGACTCACAAATCGCCATGAATTTGACACATGCCAGGGGGAAAATTTCATGAAACCAAAAACTCATTACTCCGTAATATTACGCGAAGAGTTAGTGACAAATAAATTAGCTGTTAATGCAAAATATGTGGAGAGATCGTGCGTCCCCGTGATTCCTATAAATAATTCCAAGTATTTAAAATTGAATTTCCGCAGTGATTTAACAAATAAACACAGTCTGGGTCAGTGGGAAAATTCATCAACTTTCAGAGATAAACAAACCCAGAGAATCAACTTTGACTGTTTCACGACAGCAAATCGTACATACACGTTATTACGAGTGAAACTTATTACAAAAAAATACTTTCTCCACTCCATATTCACGTGCACAGACTCGGGGGCCGGGAAATTATATTCCTGAGAGTTGGCACACGCGGTCGGGCTGTGTCAGACAATGGGTGAGAATATTGCGACGAATTGTACACAGTTAAGCGGTATGATATAGGGAAACATGCTGTATAGCTGGGAGAATGAAACTCGTCGAAATTCATTAGTGGGCTACACCAGGAAGTCATTAACAAACTGATTAACAAGTTGAAATTATCGCGGATGTGGAGCAGCTGAGTATTTGCCAAGGACTGGATGAATTCAGATTAAACTTTTTTTTTTTCATCTGTGGAAATTTTTTACCCCCGAATTGTACTGCCATTTGCATATTGAGATGGCCATTTTTGGCTGGCCGAAGGTATATTTATGAAATTCAGTGACGTACTTTTTTTTAATAATTTTGGAAATCGTGACGGAATAGTCATCAATTATTCTGTTCTATGGAGGGGTGAGTGCTCTCCAGATTTAAGATATTATTTCAAGCCAGGGATATTTAACGCGGGTCAATTGATTTTTTTATTCGAATTAGCTGGATGAAATGTATTAAAATGAATGAGTTGAAGAAATGATTTGTCGGTATGTAAATAAAAAAGGTTTTAAAAGTTCACTATAAACGTCACATGGAAGGGCCAAAAATAGTTGAGAAGGAGCCAGGATTGGTGAAGGATTGGCAGGCATGAACCTGGATCTGAGGATTGGTCAAGAATGGGCTAGGATTAGCCAATGATTGTCTAGTATGAATTAGAATAAGCCGAGAATTGATCAGAATTGCTCAACGATTACCTCGCATAAACTAGGATTGACCTAGGATTGTCTAGGATTGGTTAGGATTGACTAATGATTACCCAGCATGAACAATCGTTGCTCGACGATTGTTTAGCATGGTCAAAGCTTCACCAATGATTGCCACGTATGACCCAGGATTGACCAAGGTCGGCCATAATGGACCAGGATTAGCTAAGGATTGTTCAACATGGGCCAGAACTAACCAAGGATTTTCTAACACTGACCAGGATTGGCCAAGGATTGTCCGGCATAGGCCAGGATTGACTACGGCTTTTCTAAAACGAACCAGGATTGACCAATATTTTCCCAATATGAACTAGGATTCACCAAGGATTGTCCAACTGGACCGGAATTGGTTAAGGATTGCCTAGGATTGGCTAGGATTGACCAAGGATTGCCCAGCATAAACCCAGATCCGAGATATAAATCAAAGCCAGGGAAACCCAACACGGAACAATTGATTTTTTTCTCAACTTATCTTGCTGGAATCCATTGAATCGAATGTCAAGAAAATACATCCTCAGAAACGTTGAAAAATCACTCCGAAAGTCACAAGACCAAAGGAATCGTTCGCAATACTTCGAATTACTCCACTCCATAATGAAGAACAGAACAGCTTTTATCATCGCAGCTCCACTCCCCCATTATCCCCAGTCCTCAACAATAATGCACCCCACACTCTAAATAAACAAACAAGACAGTGGCTCTGAGCGTTGTCCATTGTTTTCACATTTGACCCCGAGGCACAGTGGTACACTGGGCCTCTGATCGGATGCTAGAATCCGGAAATGACAAAGACCGTTAGTCGAATTCGATTCCAGGTCAGCCTGCTATACCCCCCTGCTGTGTTCAGACCGATATGATGCTCGTAAATTGTTGAGATTCATAGTCCACTAAAAAGCACGTCCAGTGCCGCCAACCAGAGGATTATCATTGAGCATTAGCCTTTGCAGGGCCAGGAACACCAAGCCGGTGTGCCTCCAGTCTAATGGCTATAAATTCTCGTTTCACACTGGACAAAGAGATTAACTATGATCATGCTGCATATAACGTACTCGTTCTCGTCCCAATTCTGTCCTTCATTCCTTTTTTTACATCAATATTTTATTGCTGAGGGTGAACACTTGGTTTAATTAGTTTAGAGCGAAGGAGAAGTTGAATAATTTGTGAGGCTGAATTTACGTTACATCGTGATGGTTTGACCCGTATATCGCAAGAAGGAGTGTCAAATTATTTTTATTGGATGTTTTCCTAATTGTTAAAATAACATTAAAATGCATCAGAAAGTATTTCAAGTTGGTAAACCTGCGGAATGTTTTCTCTCTCTCAGTTCCATGGTCTAACCTATACCTCTCCCGTGATGCTTTAGCAATTAAATTGACATTTGAATTGCGCTCAATAGATAGAATTTGCCCTGAAACTCATAATTTCCCGTATTATTTATTGAAATAACTTTTATAAAATCTAAAAAAATTCAGGAACTTGGAGGCACTTTCAAGCAAGATTTAATTCATCACTCACTATTTTTTTTTCAATAGTTCATTATTTTTTTGGAAGATATGAAAATTTCCCTGATTGACTGGGAAAATCATCCCAATTTCATTTTTTTTTCTTGAAGGCGAGATTTAGAAAAAATTCGACAGAATTTCCACTGATGCAGCATAATCAGATATTTCTTCCATGAATTGTCCAATTTTTAAAAATTATTTTGACTTTTCACACAAAACACGTTAAGATCATCGCACATTATTTAACAAATTCGGCTGAATTTTCCGGAAAAAGTCAATGGAATTTCAAGTTGTACATGAATTTTCAAGTGAAAATGAATATTCACTGACAAATTCCCTTGAAATTTAAAGGAATTCCTTTACAACTCTCGAAATTCCCTGAAAATTCAGAGGAATCGGAAATTCAAGGAGAGATTTCTCTGAATTTTCCTGATTGTTCATCTGTTCTCCCTGAATAATTAAACGGAAATTTACAGTTCCCACGAATTTTTCCCTGAAATTATAAATTTTCAATGACAAAACTCCAAATTTTCGTGGAAAATGTTTAACAACACAAATAAATGAATCATAGAAATCATTCAAAGTCAGTTGATGTCACAATACAACAATATCGGTAGCTCGCAGTCATCTGAATCGATCTTTCCCTCATCATCAGCCACCCTCCCCTCCCTACCCCCTCCCGCTCAACGCGCGAACAATCGTCTAATTCTGGGTTATCGAGTTTCTCGCACTGCCCTTACAAAGGAGAGAAAAAAACAGAAAGTCAGGAAAGTAAATACACTTTACAAATGAAAGACTCCTGCGTAAATGTCTCTCTGGGGAAATGTAAAATGGCACCCTTATTTACTTCCGTCAAAGATCGACCCAAGGAGGAGAAACGCAATTAAATGCCCCACCTCGTGCACCCCGTGAAGCCGGGATTATTCGTTACTCCTGTGTCTGTACTCTCCTTTCTCCACAATTTTTCTCTCTCATCTGCTACCCCCCCCCCCCCCCCCCCCCCC